ATGTGATAAGCGTGCCACCATGTGTGTCAGAATCCAATTTTTGGTGTAAATAACCCGAGACAATACCACTGTGTTTATGATCCGTTACTCCCAATCAAACCTCTTTGTGTAATTTCTCGTGTTTCATAGTACGTTGTTTTTTTCACTTGAGGTCATTTTGGATAGAGTTAGGTACCATGGCTTTAAGTTCCACAGCTCAACTCTTAGCTTGAAGTTCAGATGTTACTTGTAGTCATAAGAGAAAGATAGTTTATACACTGAAGTCAGTGTAGCCTCTTGAAAACATACTAAAATGCAGATTAAAGCATGCAGAATTATTGGTACCAGTAAATGGAAAAATTGAGGTTACTCTTGTTTTCCAGAATGTTACTTCCCCCCCACCCCCCCGTTCCATGCATAAAGGAATTTTGATGGCTGCCTTAATGCATCTTTCTCAGCTGCTGAAAAACACTTTGTTGTTTTACCTAAATCATCGTTATATGGGAGGAGGGCAGTGGGGAAATATGATTCCTGAATCAGGAATTACTGAATTTAGTCGCTCTTGGCTGACAACTCGTGCTACTCTTCAGGTAGCTGAGATTTGGCTTTTTGTGACTGGCATGCACTGATATCTGGCTTCCTCCTCTCTGAGCTGTAAGGTTCAGTTGCCGAGAGACAACCTGTTAGTTACAGAGAACAATGTAGATGCTTTAGGGTTCTGTCAGCAAGCTACAATTCTCTAGTCCTTTCAAGTTGATCCTGTTAGTTCAGGAACTAGAGTCTTTCACATCTGGCTAGTGGTAGCCGGCAGGATCTGCAGGAATGGGTGGGTTTGCCCATGCTTTGCTGTGTTCAGAATTCAGTAAAGGACAGATCCAGCAGTCCTGATCACTTAAGGAGGCAAGACATTTTTGATCAGCTATGGTTTGTGGATTGGTACGTGCCATTTGAAATGTCTCAGCTGAGCAATGGTGCCTCAGAGCTGTTTATTCAGTTACTTCTGGGTGGGGCGGGGATATAAATGGAATATTTTCCTGAATATGGTTATATGTTCTACTAAAAAATAAAAAAGCATGCTATACTATGGTGAATTGCAGGCCTTTGAGTTTTGAAATTCAAATTCCAATCCTTTTTTTCCCCAAAGGAAAAATGCTATAGGAATCATTTTGGCATAATTATTTGAAAAGTGTTGATGCCCTTAATAAAAATCACAGACTGATGTAGGTTGAAAGGGACTTCTGGAATTCACCTAGTCCAGCCCCCTGCTTAAAGCACCTTCAATGAGATCATGATGCTCAGGGCTGTGTCCAGCTGAGTTTTGAATATCTCCAAGTCTTGAGATTCTACAGCCTCTGCAGACAATATGTTATCGTGCTTACCACCTCCATGGTTTAAAAAGGGGTGTGGGTGAGGAAGAAATTCCATATATTAAGTTGGAATTCTGCATGTTTCAACTTCTGTCTGTTGCATCTTGTCCATCCAGTGGTCACCCCTTGGAACTATTTGGCTCTTGCTTATCTGCACCTTCTCCTTAGATAGTTTTAGACAGCAAGTAAGATCCTGCCAAAGCTTTCTGAAGGCTGAAAAAACCCAGTTCTTTGTCTCTCCCAATGCATCATGTGCTCTGTCCTCCTGATCATCTTGGTAGCTCAACGCTGTCTGGTACTGGGGAGCCCAAAACTGGACTTTAGACTTGATCAGGTCACAGAGAATTTTAGAGGGAAATTTGCTGTTACAGCTGAGACAGTGTCACGTTGGGTTGCTGACAAAAGTTCCCACTTCTCCCCAAGGTACCCCTCATGCAGCCTCCTTTGCATAAAATCTCACAATCATGCAGTTGCCAGCTGTGACAGTTAATCACTGGTATGACGGAAGCATCACCCAGACATAAAACTGAATAGCTTTCTCCTGGTTCAGGTTACTCTTCTGATTTCCCAAAGGCCATACGCTTGCTAGATACATTTCTATTCATGTTTATATTTAGTGTAGTTGCTGAGACCTGCCTTTTAAACTGATGCTTTGGGTCAATAAATACCATGGAAATGTGAATTGTATCTCCTGTTTGTTCTGGGAAGTTGAAGGTTTCTATAGAAGTAGTCAGAAAAATTAACTGAAACAGTTGTATTCAGATCAATGCCAATTATCTTTCATTATATATTCATTTTATGCATATATTTACTGCTGAAATGCATACCAGAGGGAAGTAAAGATATTTCAGCAATATGACTAATAAGAAAGAACAGATACTTTCCTCTCTTCTTTAGGAGAAGATGGAACTTTTGTGTATCCCCCAAATGAAGCCCACCTGAAAACTGTTGGTTAGTTCATTGGAAATTATCATTCTCCTGAGATGGGGTGACATTGAACAAGTCAATTTGTGCCATCTTTATAAAGGCATATCACTTGCCTATCTTTCAGGATATTATGAGGCTTAATTAATATTATTTTATTCTAATCAGGTTCTTCTACAGTCTCCATCTCCACAGTATCCAAGTGACTTGCACAAGCTTATTAAGCAATGTGACTAGCATAATTACCTGTAGATTTTTCTGCCCTTTTCCTCAGGGGAAATTATGTGGGGGTTTTAGGGCCTTTGTTGTTGTTTTTTGTAACATTTCTTTTCTCTAAAAATAATCTGAAAGTTTTTATATTAACAAAACCAAGGTTTGCTTATTTAATGCTGAAGTTAGTCTGTGGTCAAATTGGAAAAACTGATGTAGAAAATGATTTTACAGAAAAAGCTATAGAATTTGTACTGAATTATCATGTGCACTGATTTATAGAGATGGTTATCTGATGCAGGTAAAAAAAATGTTGAAAGTAGTGAGCGATCTACTGGGCAACCATTACCTATCATAATTTTCTAGCTAGAAGTGACTGTGAAATTTGGTCTTTTTGGAGTGATTCATTAGCAGAAGACAACTCCTCTCGGATGACTGTCCCATTCCCTCTGTAATGGTGCTCCAGGAATGGCGATGATATAATGGAGCAGAGGACAAAGTTAGGACAAGGAAAGGAGTTTTGTGGAACTTGGGAAAGCACTGTTTCTGTCTTAAATGTCTTGATATAGTACCAGATAAATGGGCAATAAAATAGAGAAACTTAATCAACTGGTGTATGTGGGATCTGAGACCATTTATGAGTGCAGCAGATACTTGGCAGAATAGCAGAGATGAGTACACCACAACTCTTGAAGGGTTTATGCTATTCAGCCAGAACAAAAAAGTGGTAGCATCACACTACATGTGAAAGATGTGCCTTCAAATGTATGCCGAAGTTGTTTTATTTCTTTTGTCCTGGTTGTCTGGGGCATTGTCATCTAGTCAGTAGATGAACAGGAGAGAGATACTCTTAGTATTGCTGTGAGACCACTTTTCTGGATGGAATGGTGATGAGGGACAGATAAATGATCACAAATTGATGTGTTTAAATGTAATGTAAGGATGAAGAAAAATAGGTATTTTCTATCACTATTTTTATTTTCAAAATGAAGTTTGTTATGGCCCTAAAATTGAGTATTCTCCCTTGTTTAAAGTAAGAATGTACTTTACGAGTATGAATGTACTGAACAAGGGGTGAAGATAAAATGAGTAACAAGAATGAGGTTATGAAAAAGGAAACAATCGGTGTTGGAGTAGAAATAAAATTCAACATGCTGTGGCTGAAGGGTTATATTATCTCCATCCTGGAAATTTGAAGACATAGGCACAGTAAAGAGTGGAATGACTGATAAGTATTTTCAAGTTGTTCAAGTCAAGGATCATGCTGTGACTGGATCACAAGTGGAATATTTAATCCATTCTGAAGTCATGTACATAATTTTCTGTAGGAAAGTAATTGAAAAATCAAGGTAAATGACATAAAATGTAGTCTAGACTTACAAAGATGCTGTCAGATTAACCTGGTTGTTTTGCACATCTTCATCTTAAAAATTAGATAGCCTTATGGATTTAAACCAAATCCACTATGGAGGTGCAGTGCCACAAGGAAAATCTCTGACTTCACTAATAGGAGAAGAGAGGTTAGTAGAGAAGTTAGTGTGAAGTGTATACAGAATCATCTCATAGGATTGATTTTTTTTTTTTTTTTGAGGTATGGTTTTAGGACCGATATACTTCAGCATTTTCAGTAGTGTTACTAGCCCAAAATGTGGGTCAGCTCTGATTAGGCTTTCGAAATTACATTCAATAATTAGGTTAATCAGAGCACATGATAGCAAGAAATGATGATGACTCTCAGGAGTAGATAAAAGAAATAATTTGAAATAGAATGGTATACTATGAAACTTCATGCCCCTTAGGATAGATTATACACCAATAAAAGTTTGTTGAGAGTTTATCAATTCAGAAGCAGTAGAGGAGGAGGAGGAGGAGGATCTGGATGTTTAATCTGAAGAAGGGGTGGGACATTGAGCCACTGATGAAGTACAACTCTGAAAAAGGCAGGTGTGGTCTTCTGTGGTACAGTCATTAATGAGAAATACTGATGTATCTCTATAATGAGACCTTGTATGGTATATTGTGTACACTTTCTGTCCATATTCATTTAAGGAATAAGAATTCAACCAGGAACAGGTCCAGTGAGGTAACACAGATGCTAGAGATGACCTGGGAGGAGCGAAGGGACAGCAAGATTTCTTTAGTCTGTTGAAGTGAGTGCTGAAAAGGGATCCAGTTACTTATGTTTCTGAAAGCATTCCAGCAGAATAGATGCTAAAGAAGGGAGAAGTATTTGGCTAAAAGAAAATATATAGATTGATGATTAATAAATTTAACTTGAAATTGGAAGGGAGAATCTTGAGGAATCCCTCATTGGAGCAGCAAGAGCGAAGTCCTGTTTGGGACAAAAAAGCTGTGGTTGTTCTGGGACAACAGGGAAAAACCGAACGCAGTGGCTGTAGGATGCAGGGTAGGTAACCATTCCTACGTGCCCCGAGAGTGGTGCTTGGCAGGGTGCGTTCTTAAAACTTCTCATCTTGAAAGAGCTTCTTTTGAAGAATTTCAACCGATCATGGGAAGCAGACGGCATGCCAACTGCATTTTTACTATTGTCAGGTACCTCTTTTTGCCCCTTATCTCTTCCTTTCTTCATGTCATTCTGCCGGTTTCTATGAGAGGTGAGAGATAGATACTCCCTGAATTGCTGTAGGATCTATACAAAGAAAGGACATAGTAGAGTTCTTGCTGTACCTTACATCTAGGTGTCATAATTATTTTTCCCCCCTTCTTTGGTGTAGTGGAGAAAAAAGGCTGAACCTATACTTTTTTAAACCCTATTTAATATCTTGCTTATGCCTTGAAGATTTCTGATCTACGATCAAGTTCCGTACATATTAAAACTACTACAAAAATTTGAGGAAGAGGCTTTTTCTTGCATGATTTTATGCTTCTTGTGAAGGAGGGTGGAGGTTTGATGGCGGGTGACAGTTACCATTGCACTGCCTAGTTAAGCATAAATTAAAGTAGAAAGATAATAGTGCGCGGATCCAAAGTCAGTGTTCACTTGAAGGTTTCTCATCTGGCAACCCAGTGTGCCGCTTTAGTCTGACAGAAAGTGTGACTAGCACGTAAATACCTTCCTGTATCCTGTGCAGCTGCCCAGGGGCTGGGGGCTGCAGGGCGGCCTCTGTGAGGAGAGGCCTCCTCTGTGAGGAGAGCCCTCGGCTGCCCTGTGCCAGATGTGGCCGGTTCCAGCCGGCTCCAGCCAACCCACCGCAGGGCACAGTTGAGCTTAGCAGCCAAGATGGTGGCGCCTGTGTGATGATGTATTTGAGAGAGAGTAAAAAATGCTCTGTGGCAGCTGTGAGAGAGGAGTGAGGAAAATTGTGAGAGAAACAGCCCTGTAGACACCAAGGTCAGTGATGGAGGAGGTGTTCCAAGGCACCAGAACAGAAAGCCCCTGCAGCCCCTGGGGAGGACTGCATTGGAGCGAGGGTATATTTCCTGAAGGAGCTGCAGCCTGTGGAGAGGACCCACGCTGGAGCAGTGAAAAATGTGAGGTGGAGTGAGCAGCGAAGAGGAACTGTTATGAACTGACCACAACTCCCCCATTTCCCACTCCCCTGCACTGCTCAGAGCAGGGAGAAGGTAGAGGAGTTGGGAGTGAAGGAGTGAAGCTGTGCTTGGGAAGAAAGAAGGATGGGGAAAGCTATTGTTTTAATTTGTTTTTGTTTCTTGCTACCAGAACCTGTTTTCAATAAATTACATTCCTTTTCCCCAAGTCATCTGTTTTGCCTGTGACAGTAAATGGTAGTCGATCTCCCTGTCCTTACCTCGACCCATCCCCTTATCCATCTTATTTTCTCTGCCCATCCTGTTGAGGATGGGGATCAAGAGTGCCCCGCGGGGGGTGGGGGGGGTGGTGTCTGGCAGCTGGCCAAGGTCACCCACCAGGCTTCCTTAGGGCTTGTGTTCTTTTAGACACATCCATGGGCTCAACAGGTATTTTTTTGCAAGCATTTTGTGTAAGTTTTTAAATGTTTTCTTTATGCTATTTGCAGGTTTAAACATTGGCTGTATTAGTGCACTGCCATATTTTTCAAGTACCTTTTAGTATATTTTCACTTTTCCTGCTCATTAAGCTGTGTGTTGCTTTTTAACTGGAGTGAAATAAGTTCTTTACAGTGCTAACATTTCTTAATGATAATTAGTCTATACAAAGAGGCAAATCATATTTTAGACCAGGAGTTCTAAGAAGTAATCTTCTTAAAGAAAAAAAAAAATTGTGGGTAGAATGTTTGATTTCAGAACTATTATCTTGCCATTATAAACAACAATTTGCAGTAAGAAGTTTTTAATTTTGTTTAGACTCCTTTCAGAAGAAGCTATTTTATTGGTTTGGCTGAATCAAAAGATTGATAAAAGAGGGTGTAAAGCCTTTCAATTAGATTGCTTTGGTAAGACTCAATCCCAGGTAGAAGTGACTCATGATTGTTCCTGTCTTGTAGTTGCTTAGTGATAATTGTGCAATAAATTAAACTTCAGTCCAGATCTCATAGGCAAGTACCTGCATGGTGCGCTGCCATGGTTGGTGAAGTGCACTTGTTAACAAGTTTCAGTAAGGCCAAGGGTGGACTATGCCTGGAGACAGCATATTTCATCTCAAGTCATGGTTGAAGGGCTTTGGCAGAGTAGTATGAGGAAGTCTGTGCAGTTTCTGCTGGTGTACTGTTCTGTTGAGAAAGTACTTTGTTGGTCAGGGTTGTCCATTTTTCTAAATGCAGTGGCTTTGCTGTGGAATGGAATTGCTTGAGACGTTTGGAAAATGCTTCAATCTATTCAGTTCAACTTAGTAACAAATGGAATAAGAGAATAAAGATAGAAACTCCCCCAAAAGTTTATCTGTCTTACCTGTGGATTCTCATTTCTTTTACTGTAATGATTTTTGTTAATCAAAGTAGTTATAAACAGTACAGTGTATTTAGCTTTGAATTTTACAATTATATTACAACCTCAGAAATTAATTTGTTTGATACATGCTCAGTGTTGTATTGATTTGTTATTTTTGTTTATTCTTTCTTAGTATTAATGTGATGGCAAATTTAATTGTGGTACATGTCACTGGTATGGTTTTAATTTGGGCTCTATATCATCCAGTAAGACAGACTTACTAATTAGATTAATTATATCATATAAATTAGGTAGCAGAAGCAGCTAATGCTGAAATGTCTTTTTTGTTTAATTTTTGCATTGTTAGTTTTCATATAACCTTTGTTTTCATTTCAGACCTTCAAGGTTGAACATGAGCTGGCATACCATGCCATTTTTTGAGTAATTCTGGGGTTGTTGATTGTTAGCCAGTCCTGAAAACTTCCCAAACAGAAGTCTAATTTTGGGTTCCTAGTTTTGAGGACTAGGCCAAATTCAAAAGTTTTTGCAGATGTTTCATTTTTTTATTGCTTTCACACATATCCTCTAACATGCAGCAGGTAAGAGTCCCATTTGCTAAATTGAGATTTCCCATTGCCTGGCTTTCTTAGAAGGTGGCTTCTTTAAGTCCATTGATGCTGGGTTTTGATGCTGTTCTCAGCTGACCTTCCTTAATACATTACACAGCCTACCTTTCTAAATTAAACCAAAACCCTTAAATTAGTTCTTAACGGACTTCAAAGAGCGCTTGTTAAGTACCATTCATTATGGTGGTTGCTACCGTAGTCTGCAGATACAATTACTTCTGCAGCAGCAGCACTTAAAGCTGGCACTGTAGCTGTGCATAGCTTGCTGTAGCAGCTGCCAAGCTGATGTGAGTGATGCATTCCTCATAGCTAGCGCTTCCTTATGTTTTATCAATTTATTAAAATAGAAAAGTACCCAACTGAACTTCCTTAGCAATAGCTCTCTCTCTCTTTCTCTTCCTGTGTGTCATGTGCCATGTTCCAATTTTAAACGTGGTCTTTGGACAAGCATCTTAAAGTTGTACTGTTCTATTTTTATTCATGTGGTGGGTTGACCCTGGCTGGACACCAGGTGCCCACCAAAGCCACACTATCACTGCCCTTCTCAGCTGGACCGGGGAGAAAAAGTGTGATGAAAGGCTTGTGGGTTGAGATAAGAGATAAGGGAGAGATCACTTACCAATTACCGTCATGGGCAAAACAGACTTGACTCGGAGAAAATTAATTTATTACCAATCAAATCAGAGTGGGGTGATGAGAACTAAAACCAAATCTTAAAACACCTTCCCCACACCCTTCCCTTCTTCCTGGTCTCAACTTCACTCCCAATTTTCTCTACCTCTTCCCTGCCCCAGCAGCACAGGGGGACGGGGAATGGGGGTTGTGGTTAGTTCATCACACGTTGTCTCTGCCGCTCCTTCCTTCTCAGGGGGAGGACTCCTCACACTCTTCCCCTGCTCCAGCATGGGGTCCCTCCCACAGGAGACAATCCTCCACAAACTTCTCGAACGTGAGTCCTTCCCACGGGCTGCAGTTCTTCATGAACTGCTCCAGCCTGGGTCCCTTCCACGGGGTGCCGTCCTTCAGGAACAGGCTGCTCCAGCCTGGGTCTCCTGCGGGGCCACAAGTCCTGCCAGGAGCCTGCTCCAGTATGGGCTTCCCAGGGGGTCACAGCCTCCTTCGGGCATCCACCTGCTCTGGTGTGGGTGTTCCCTGGGCTGCAGGTGGAGATCTGCTCCAGCGTGGAGCTCCATGGGCTGCAGGGGCACAGCCTGCCTAACCGTGGTCTTCACCAGGGGCTGCAGGGGAATCTCTGCTCCAGCGCCTGGAGCACCTCCTGCCCTTCCTTCTGCACTGACCTTGGTGTCTGCGCAGTTGTTGCTCTCACGTATTCTCACTCCTCTCTCCAGCTGCAATTGCTCAGGTTTTTTTTTCCCCCCTCTTAACTATACTGTTCCAGCTACCACTGTTGGTGATGGGCTCAGCCTTGGCCAGTGGCGGGTCCATCTTGGAGCTGGCTGGCATTGGCTCTGCTGGACATAGGGGAAGCTTCTAGCCACTCCTGCAGCCCCACCACTACCAAAACCTTGCCATGCAAACTCAGTACAATTCAGGATGATTGGTTGGTAACCATAGGTGTTGCTTTGGTAAGAAATTACATTAATTTAGTGAGCTGGACATGGTGGGAGATCACTGAGCTGTATTGCAGTATTATGGACTACTTAAAATTGTTGAGCTTTAATTAAGAATTTTCTACAAATAGAGAAGTAGCAGTCCTAAAAAGCAAAACTAACTTATAATCTGTCTATTACAAATCAATATGATGTTCCCCTCTGCCCATTCACTTTCTACCGCATGAACAGAAAGGTGGTAGATCTAAGGAAGTGACTGTCTTGGTGGTTTGATATTTCTTGCTGGTGGGTGATTTGAGCAGAATTGTTCCATCCTCCACGTGTGTGCCATTCAGTGCCACGCAATCAGGGCTCCAACATGCTCCCTGTCGTTATGATTTCCCTCCTGGGGAGCACAGATCTTGGCCCTAACGCATCTCCTGCGGAGGCTGCTCTGAGGGAGGCAGACTGGGGAGCTTGGGCTGTGCACAGCAGCACATTGCTGCTAAAGCAAACCAGTAGGAAACAGTTTCCTGTGCCCACGTGCTACCTCAGGCTTCAGTGAGGGAGTGCTGTGATGGTGTATGATTTGAAGGGCCGCCTTTACTATCATTGAGGAGTAAACAGCAAAACTTGCCACTCCGTAAGCACTGTAATGCCGGTGCACAAAGTGGAGCCAGGAGTTGGTGGTGTTGCCTTTTATAGCTCTTGAAGTATTTTATTTTCTTCTTTAGAGCGTACTGACTGTCTAGATGTTTTTGTGATTCCAAGGAAGCTGAAGAGGGCTTTAAGTTCTTCTTTTACTGTAAATATTTTGCCATTAAAGATGTTTCTTAACATCTAATTGGTATAAATGATAAAATTCTGAGTTTTGTGTAAATGTTGTTATTGATTTCCTCTCCCACACCATAAATCCGTGTGACTTTTAAAGATAAGAGCTGGCTGCATAGATCCACATGAATTTGCCATGCTTTCCTACTAGGCTGAGCCATATTAATGAGTTACACCTTGCTGTGTGGTAGCACCACACTGCTTAAATGAATTAGTAAAATGAGAGCTGCTTATAGCAAGTCAATTCTGCAACCTGTGCTTACTGTTAATTCCGCTAAATGTAAAAAATAATTTATAGTTTGATTCCCTTAAATGAGAAATGGACACATTATGTGTTTATCTGTGGTCTTTCATATTTCAATGAGAAATAAAGGTAGTCCTTTTTTAAAAAAGTTATATTTTTAACCAGCATGGCTGGTCAAATTAAACTTGAATGTTGTGGAAGAGCATTGGTGAGAAGTTTGTCATAGCAAATACAAATAAAAAATGAAGAAAACTTGCAGTACTTAAGTACTTAAAATTTTTCTGTGTTTAGTGTGGACTAGGAAAGACTAGTTGGCAGAAATAGCAATGGACTACAATATAGTAACAGTCATTTTAGATCATATAAAAGCTTCTGCAAAAGTGTGTATAAGCTTCTGCAAAATTTTACAAAGCAAATGGGAAGATAGTAAGGACTGGGGCAGGGCAAATTGGACAGTGCCTTGTGTAAGTTGCATTTTTTCCTCTCTAAACAGGTTTTCATCTTTCGTCAATTTTTTTTTTCTCCTTGTACAGTGGAGAGAATGAGGTCTTTTAAGTTGTAAAGGTTGAGTACAACATGTACCTACTTAAGGTACTGATGTCTAAAACTGTTTATCCACAGTCCAGATGGAATATTACATATTTGATGTTAAGTGAAATGGATCTAATCTGGAAACTATATAAATGGTATTGTTGATATCTTATGTTACAATGGGCTTTGGTCGCTTTATCTTGTATAATAATCTTATTTTCTTTTTTTAAATGTAGCGGTATTTTCTTGTTGGAAGTAATCCTGCAGAAACCAAATACCGTGTTTTGAAAATAGATCGCACTGAACCAAAGGACTTGGTTATAATTGATGATAAGGTGAGAGCCTCTAGTTAGGGCTTTTTCAGTTATTCCAAATAATACCAAATTGAGCTGAAATTAAATATTACGCATTTAATCTGTTTCAACAAAGTTATGTTACAGAATCAAAGATTCATATAACAGTTGAGGTTGGAGGGGGTCTCTGGAGGCTGTCTAGTCCTATGCCCGTGCTCAGAGCAATGCCAACTAGATCAGGTTGCTCAGGGCCATGTCTAGTTGCGTTTTGGATATGGATGGAGATGCCACGTCTCTGGGTAACCTGTTCCAGTGTTCAACCATCCTCAATGGTGGTAAAGCTTTTTCTTATGTTCAAATGGAATTTCCTGTATTTCAATTTGTGCCCACTACCTCTTGGCCTTTTACTGGATACCACTGAGAAAAGTCTGCCTCAGACTTCTTTATTCCCCTCTACCAGGTGTTACACATTGATAAAATCCCCTCTGAGCTTTCTCTTCTTCAGGCTGATCAATCCCAACTCTCTCAGCCTCTCCTTGTGTGTCGGATGCATGCAGTATTAGCATGATAATGACTAGTTAAAATATGGAAGTGGCCACAAAATCTCCAAACAGCATGTTCACTTTTCCCAAGTTTTTCAATTTATTATGTATATACTCCAAATGTTTTTTTTATGTTCAGCTGTGCTGCTCTAAATGCAAAGTAATTACTACCTAGCCAAATTTTTAGTATTTCTGATATATTGCACAGTAACAGCGGCAGCAAGAGTTTTAATGTATGCAATAGAGTACGACTTGATTCCTTTCCAGGAAGTTTATGGTTCTAAATCTTAAGTGTTAAGATTTTAAAATGTTTGAATTCACATGCGACCATTGCTATTTCTATTGCAGTGAATGGTGTGTTTTGTGCGTTTCTTACTTGTTGGTAGGACTAAAGCAGGAGACAGAGGATGTAGAGCAGACGTTTAGTGTATGAAGTAAATTCTACTGTTCGCTGACATGAAATAACATTTAACTAAGCAGTAACTTAAGTGACTTTTTATTTTAAAGCATGTGTATACGCAACAAGAGGTGAGGGAACTTCTTGGACGTTTAGACCTGGGAAACAGAACAAAGATTGGGCAGAAGGGCTCTTCTGGGTTATCTCGAGCTGTCTCTGCTTTTGGTGTAGTCGGTAAGTATTTGTGTTTATAAAATCTTTTATTTCTTAAGGAGGTGAGGCTTGCTGTGTCACACTGCATATCTTTCTGTCTCCCCTTGATTTTTTTTTTTTTAAACTGAAGAGGATTGAGAAATGTCATTCTCAAATAAGTTTCTATGTATTTTGTGAAAACAGGTGGCCAGGACAAGGGTAAGAGTTGTGCTGTAACTAGACTCTTCTGTGTTACTAAGGGACAGATCTAGAAAATAACCAAACTTATAACCAAAGTTAGCCAAAAAAAAAAAGCCAAACTATAACGAAAGAAACTTGGTTGAAGATCTCACCAAACTCAACTGATTATAGGATAAAAATCACATGGAACCTGGCCTCCTGAATTCCAGAGCTCACAGAATGCTTTTTTAAAAAAGAAAACAAAAGTTGACATCCTTTATTAGGTTGCATTTCTTCATCACACACTATTCAGAAAGATGACTTGATTTTCTTGTTGGCAAACTTTTTTGCAGTGATGTATTTAAGTATTTCTTTTTCATGTTTGAACAAGTGTAACTGACTAGAATGTCAACTAATTTTTAAATGCTGATTAGCTGCCATAATCCTAGAGAATTGCTTCAAGGATTTAATAGCTTCTAACTTCATCTGAAAGTCACAGCTTTCCTCCCTATTGTCAGATGCTGAGGTTGATACGTTGATGGGTCATGTCTCCAATGTAAATGTTAATGTGTGCTCTGACAGCCCCCAAGAATACTTTGTGCTTTATTTGAATCAATATACACCTGAACATCTAAATCTAAAGCTGCAGAGGTAGAGAATGCAATTACTTTAAAAGATGCTCCTGAATTTTGCATAACCACCAAAATATAAGAAAATATTAGTAGTATTCTAATCTAAGTGGCAGATTTAGCAAACTTTCTTCTATATTCTTTTTGTCCATGAAGAGTTTTGGAACTTATCAATGGATACACTTTTCAGAAATTTCTTAGATGAGGTTTACGTTCCTTACTAATTTAAGAGTATTAATAATACAGGTAAACCTAAAGAAGCTTCTAACAGTCTTGCAGTGTTGACGCTTTTTGCACAAGCCGTAAGTGCTTGATATGTAAATACGTGAAAATAAATTCAGATGGAAGGAGGTTGTGTTCAATGAAAATTTTGCATCCTAATTGTATGTTTGTTTATATATACTCTTCATAATAGGAGAGTTTCTATTCTGTAGCTGGACAAATGCATTGGTTGTCAGATAAGGTGTACTATTTCTATTTTCTGGTGAGGCCTCATCTGGAGTATTGTGTCCAGTTCTGGGGTCCCCAGTTCAAGAGAGACAGGGAACTTTTGGAGAGAGTCCAACAGAGGTTTACAAGTATGATTAAGGGCCTGGAACATCTCTCATACAAGGAAAGGCTGAGAGACCTGGGGCTGTTTAGTCTGGAGAAGAGAAGGCTGAGGGGGGACCTTATAAACATCTATAAACACCTGAAGGGTGGCTGTCAGGAGGATGGAGCCAGTCTCTTTGCAGTAGTGCCCAGTGATAGGACAAAGAGGCAAGGGGCACAAACTGCAGCACAGGCAGTTTCACCTCAACATGAGGAAAAACTTCTTTACTGTGGGGGTGATGGAGCACTGGAACAGGCTGCCCAGAGAGGTTGTGGAATCTCCTTCTCTGGAGACCTTCAAAACCTGACTGGCCGCATTCCTGTGCGACCTGCCCTGGGTGATCCTGCCTTGGCAGGTGGGCTGGACCAGATGATCTTCAGAGATCCCTTCCAACCCCTACCATTCTGTGATTTCTAGATTATTTTTTTAGAAGCAACATGCTGTCTTAGTGATCTTCAGATTATCTTGCACTTTATATGCTTTAGACATCTTCTATCTTGATGCTATCTAATCATATCTGTATAAACATGTAATCTGAGGGAATGCAACTGGTCCTTTATTTCTGCCTCCTGACTCAGGTCAGGAGGACAGGGCTATTTTTTTGTAGGATTGGAAAGGACAGCTTTGTTCTGTTCTCTGGTTATTTCATTAACCAGAGACAGTACATTCAGTGTGCTTGGAATGGGAGTGCTGATAGGCTAAGTTCTGGTTCACTGTATAGTGTTTAAAAGTAGAAATCACTTTTAAATGAAGGGAACCAGGCCAAGGGGAAAGGCTGGGTTCCTTATCAGACTTTGGTATAACATTTGGTGAAATTTAAAGGCTGTTCATGTAAGTGATTCCAGTACTTAGAGGATACAGGAAGACCTTTGACTGCTATTTAACAACTGAAATTCAATAGCGTGGCTGCTTCCAATTGAAGACTCTGTTTCTTATTGTCAGCAGGGTCTCCTTTACTTGTGCAGGTGAGAGCATTTTTCCAAGGGGGGCTAATAAGGCAGAAGAAAAGAATTGCAGTTCATTCGATCACATTGCAGCCTCCAGCAGTGACAGGGAGGAAAATGTGTGCTTTGCTCATCCTTCTTTAATTTATAATGCAAACCTAAAAGAACTGAATATAAATACAAGTAACAATGTGAACTGTGAGGGGTTTTCCCCCCCGCCTCAATTATATATTTGTTCACAGTGCAGCAGTGACTGAGTTTTGGGCTCTTTGCTAGTAGCCACCCATCAAAGCAGCTACCTCCAAGAGCTAATTCATGTAATTTACTAGTTATTAAAACTTAGTACTGCTGTGTCACTACCTATACTGTATTAGAAACAAATTTGGGTTTGGGGTGGTTACATATTTCTATTTTTAATTTGCATTTATGCATTTGTATTGTATTTAAAGGTTTGTAATGCTTTTTCCTAATTATATGTAATAGAGACATCCAAAGAAGCAACTCAGTGAAAAAGCATGGCTATGCCCTGTAACATTGGGGAATGAGGGTGGAGGCTTCAGGAGCCTTCTTTAATAGGCAGTAAAGCCAGACACTTCCTGCGCTACCTCCTTAGCCCTCTGGACTTCAGCAGGGTCAAGGTTTGGTATCTGAGAGAGAAAATAGAAAGAAAGAATTACCCCTGATGTTCTGAATGCTAATTTGGGGGAGATGCTGCTGTAGACAGGAAATTTAATTCCCTGCTGTTAATGAGAGAGAGCACAAAGGTGTTGTAGTACCCTCAGCTCCTTTTGCTGTTCTGTGTCCCTCCCCAGTAGACAATATATAAAAGTGAATTGGAGATTGGGATTCCTCCTTGCCCTGGAAAATTAACGTTTTGGTATCTGAAGTAATTAGGGTATGCCTCGCTCTGAACAGTGAGAGTCCTATAAAAAGCAAATACAAGTATTTTAAGTAGACAGCAACTTACTCTGAATTTTCAATGTCTTAACTCTACTACCTAATATTAAAAATATGCACAGTGGAAGTGAAAAAAGTAAGAACTATGTACTTCATTGATTAGCACTTATTGGGGGTGAATTGTTAGAGTCTGTGTCTATGTATATGTATATTTTTGTATATGCATATATATGCACATTATACATATAACATTAAGAAGAAACAAAAATTCTGTGGAGTCTTGAAACAATTCTGATATTGTTTTGCTAAGTGTGTTTGATCAAATCAATGCAAACATCCAACTAATGGCATTGTAATGCTGTTTTAACAGGTTTTGTCAGGTTTTTAGAAGGCTACTACATTGTGTTAATAACAAAAAGAAGAAAAATGGCAGATATTGGAGGTCATGCAATATATAAAATAGAAGATACGAATATGATCTACATTCCAAATGACTCTGTAAGAGTCACTCATCCTGATGAAGCCAGGTAAATAATGGTGGTAAACAGTACTTTTTGAGTATTTTCTAAGCAACGGTGAGCTGCAACTAGAAATTTCAGCCATAGAATTCCTTCTATTAATGTCATTCAAGCCATTTTATTTTAGTTGGTAAATTAGCGTGGAAGAATGGAGAGTGGGCCACAAGTTCTGTGGCCTCTAACCTGGAGGGTAAATACAACAGTTACAGTTTTTCAGAGCTTTTTGTCGGCATCTCCATGTCACTTACATGTCAAAGCTACATCCTAGCAAACGTGCACCACGAAACATCCAATAAACATTGTTCTTACAAGGTCAAAGTAATGCTAATACTGGTTTATATTGTTTGGGGTATTGTTCTTTTGTTAGTAGTTCTAGCATCATGTTAATGTCACCTGAAGAGATATTTTGTACCCTTCAAGAAGTGCTGAGCAAATTATTTAGGGATTCTGTGCTGTCAGAATCTTGTGAATGTTGGTGTTGTAAAGGGTGATAAACTGGCCCACTGGTAAGTTTAGCTGCTTTTTTCCTTTCTGTAAGTTCTTTCTAAAGAAAGGGGTTTGGGCCTTTGAGCAGCAGGAAGTCTTGTATGACATGTACAAGTACATCCTGGTGGTTTTTTTATCAGGCAAATGATATCAATAAACTGCTTTTCAGTCTGTACTAAGTGTGACTAGTCTAAAAGTTGTGATGGGTTATGATAAACTGATGTCAGGTAATAAATCAAGCCAATGGTAACTTTAAAAAGTTTTCACTTTAAGATATGACTGATTGTAAACCTCAGTCTCCCCTCTTAGAATGCAGCAGACTGTATTATCTGACCTATATATTTATGGTGTTAACAATTTTATCTTTCATAGACAGTGTTATCGTTTCTTCTGAGAATTTGCAAGTGTATGACATGTTGAAGTAGTTTTTTTTTTTCTTTCTCATTTATTTGAGAATAACTGTGAAAATACTTACTTCTTGTATAGTACTGTTGGGATTTACTTGTGTAAGTCCTAGAGAATTTGACCCACGTATGCAGAAAATAGAACTGCAACTGTATCTACAGCTGCCTAAAGAAATGGAGTATGTACATGAGTAGACACTGGATTAAAAAAAGGCTATTTCATTTATTTAATCCAGATGCTGACATTCTAGTGGAATTACCTGTCAAAACAACTACAGTGAGGTAGCTAGAGAACTTACAGCAAGAGTTAATATTTATATGTAGTTTAATTTCTGAGATCCTCTGAATGACTTCTTGTCTGCTTAAAATTCCTTTTAACTGGAATTATTTTGCTAGGTATCTGAGAATCTTTCAAAATGTGGACCTTTCTAGCAACTTCTATTTTAGGTAAGTATTTGTTACTAATTCCTTTAAAAAATTGTCCTCATTTGAAGATACGCCCTGCGCAGGGTACATCTTTCATAGGTCCTACTGGGCATTACCAGTTCTCTTGCTTACTGCTTCATAAATGCCATGCCTGAGACAAGTTTCTGTGTTCCAGCTACTATTACACATGAGATTTTTGGGACAGCAGAAAAATGGGGAAAATGTGATAAGCCTGGCAATAGTAGTTAGAACACTTTAAGACTTAAAAAACGCCACATCAAAACCAAACCAAAAACCCTTTGGCAAGTATCAAAAGGTATATCAGTCTAGAACATACTCCCTCTTGGAAAATAAAGGCTTTTTGTCACAACTGTATCTGAAGGCAAAACCTATTGAGGTTTCCTGTCTGTTTTGTGGTTTTGCATGGAAAGGCTTTTTCACAGTATAAAACCTGCATTTTAATTCCATGCCTTGTCTCCCAGCCCTAACATTATACAGTTTCTGGGGTTTTTTTTCTGCTTGGAGATGATGAATGTATACAGTTTTGTGATGGTGCATAGAGGGGAAAGGAGAAGGTTCTTAGAAGGCTTTCTGATAAACACATTTATCAGCTTAATTTAAATTGTTCTTGGCTGAAATCATAGCATATTTTTCTGCACGGTTTTCATATAAATCCTGAACAGAATTAGAAGTTAGGTATAAGAAAACATTTGGTCTAAGAGGAAAACAGAGGAATAGCCTGAACAAGTCTCTTACTGGGATGCTGTTTAAAGGGTCTGTTATATGCAAACTGATCATGTAACAGACTTTTGGTTTTTTTCCTAATAGGTAGGCATGTCTGGTTGTTATTATGGAAATGTGGTGAACACATGGGTTAGAGTTTGTTATCATGAGTGATAAATCTAAATGTCCAATGCTTAAATTTTTTTTTTTTTTAGATCATTAATGAATATTTAGAATTTACTGGGGGGCCAGTAATCATTGATGCCGTCTTAGGAAAATCTTTGGATATCTGTATTTCTGATTCAAGTGTTGTATAAACTTGGTTTCTCCTGGAGGGGATGAATCCTAGTGGCTTATAAAATTTAGCAATTAGTGTAGTGTTGTCAGTATAAAAGACATAAGATACAGAATTTGTTACTATTATGGAACTAATAACCACCTTTTGCTTATTCAGCAGCCACTGTCTTAGGATGCATCTATGCTGCAATCACAAATTTGAAGACACATAGTTTTTGTGGACCAAATTTTTGGGTGTTTTGAGTTCAGGTACTAGTTAGAGAGTAGTACTTAAATCTCAGAAAAATGAGGTTGTCTATGTATATGGATATTTTGGCTATTGTAGTGTAAACAGTTCCTATGTTTGTAAAGCTTCTTGTGGTAATTTGTATCATTTGTACCATTTGCCATTATAGAATCAGAATCTGTTAAGAGTCTTTTTTTTTAATGGATAGAGAGAGAGTAAGGGCTTTCAGAAAAATCCTGTGCTTCTACAATTATTAATAAACAATAACTGTCTATCAGTTACAGCTATGATCTATCTCACTCCCTTCAGTATAATCTTACTGTCCTGAGAATGCCACTTGAGACACTGAAAAATGAAACAACTCAGACCCGACAAGAGAGTTTTGATATATTTGAGGATGAAGGACTTTCAACACAGGGTGGAAGTGGTAAGCCAATATGCCTCATTTAATGTTGTTGGTCATGAGTACATTTAGAGTGTGTTCTCCTTAAGTTTACTTTTGAGAAACACAGGTCTTCTGTGTTGATCAGAAGTGTCATAACAGTTGTGAGTTAATAAAAGATTACATAAAGTGCAAAATACAGACATTTGAATTTGAACAATGCAATTTCTAGGGGTGATTAATCATTGTTTTGTTAATTTACGTTGCAGCTCAGGGAGATAATTGAGCATGCTGACATTTTTCAGCAACTGGTTCTTCAACTGACTTGTAAGACTCAGGAGTGAATCACAAAGAGTGGGAAGCAATAACTGATTATGTACTAATAAATCTTTTTTGTTTCATGTTGGAAAATATCGATGACAGAGGAATTGTATGAAGTTAGTTTCAACTTGATGTAGTAAGCTCTATCAGGAAGTCTAAGAAAAATTACTGATTTCATTTGAAAACTACAGCCTTCACTTTGGATCTAACATGTTCATGAGAGTGTAGAAATGACCAGACAGACAAAACTATTTTCCCACTTGCTTGGCCCTTAAAAAAAAAAAAGTCCCCCAAAATTCTTAATATTGGATTTTATTCTGTGGAAGTTGATTTTTTTTTTTATCTTTTATTGCCCTGTGATTTGTACTAATTATCTGAATGCTTGCCAAAAAATTAAATTTTAGTTTTTTTACTTGTTGGTATTGTACGTGTGACACCACTTTTCTCCTTGTTTAATCATGAAATATCAGAAATAACAGTGCTACCTTTGATTCATAATAAGTACATTGCCGTAAAAGTGGTCTCAAACAGCTGTGGAGATACAACTAAGCTTCTTAGGTATTAATAGAACAGCATGCCTTTTAAATACATCACTGGTAAGCAAAACAATAGAACAGATGAAGTCTGCTACTATTTTGCTTAGCATATCAACTTGGTATGGAGGCCAACTTAGATGCAACATAGAATCTGCATCTGTGCTTGTATTGGTTATAAAGAGGCTCAACAGCCTCTTGCATTACCACTCTTACTTGTAGTCACCCGCTGTGTAACCTCTGTTGCACAGAAAATATAATACTTGTCCTAAAATAACTTTGGTTCTAGGAGATAGTGTGAATTTCATGACTCATGTTTTGTCCCTTCTAACCCAAAATGAATCTTCTGAGGCACTGAATAAGGAATTTATTGGTCCTGCTTTCTGTGCCTCCAGAGGGGACTCTGAAGGTCTGATGTGCACATAGTTAAATACAGAAATGCCCGAAACAACCCCTGACCCAAATTTGTGCAAGACAAGCTTGTGCACCCTTTCACTTTTGACACCCTAGAATAGACCTACGCTGACTACAACTCAAAGAATGATAATGAATATTAGGTAAGTAACTAATAATCTTTGATAGTGGAACTTACTATGTTAAATAGTTGTAAACATCTATCATGTTGTCATTTAAAAAGTTTAAAAGTAAAAAGTAATGCTGTATACAGTATGCCCTAAATCCTGTGGAAAAATTGGAAGACAATTGAATAGTGTATTAAACAAAAGACTTCCCCTCCCACATCTCCACCTTCCCTGCCTCACCCCCCCCCCCCAACAATTCAGAAACCTGTACATA